AGAAGGATGTCATGCTTGGTAGGGTGGAGGGTCGACGAAAGAGGGGGAGACCTTCAACGAGATGGATTGACACGGTGGCTGTGTTGATGGGCTCAAGTATAGCAGGGATTGTGGGGCTGGCGCGGGATTGGGCAGTGTTTCGTTCTGCTGTGCATGGGGTCGCTATGAGTTGGAAACCACTCGACGTCACTTAACAACAACAACAACAACGCCACTAGTAGGAGCTCTGGTAGCATAGTGCCTAAGGCACTTGACTGCTAACCAGAAGGCTGGCGGTTCAAACCCAACAGCCATTCCTCGGAAGGAAGGCTGGGCAATCCTACTTCCGTAGTGATACTGCCTCGGAAACCCAAGGAGGGGTCACTATGACACATGGGCCAACTCGACGGCAAATAACAACACACCACTAGTAGTCTAGTCCTGTCAATTCAGCCTCCTGACTTCCCTTGAAGCCTTCCTCACCTTTCCCCTCCCACCACCCCAGCTTTGCTCCAGTCCTCCTTCCTAAGCTTCCTACCTCCTGGCCCTATCTCTCATCTACCCTCTCCATGGCAGCCAAACAGATCTTCCCCAATACATAAGCTAAATCAGACCCACTGTTCCTGCGATGAAGCCTGCCCACTGCTTCACAAGGCCTTCAACATTAAAAACTCATTCCTCAGCCCCAGCACTCTGCCCGTCATGCTCTGGCTCCCTACTCTCACTTGGGTCCCAAGAGTAAGTCTGAAGTCTGAAGTCTTTCCTACCTGACCCTTGGCATTTAGTTCCCTCTGCCCAATGCCCTGCTTCCACCCCAATCCACTGCCTACCTGGCTGTCACCCTGGCTCTGCACTTACTGTGTGGCCCTAGGTAAACAGCTTAACCTCTCTGTGCCTGTTTCCCCACCTGTAAAATGGAGACAATAATAGGCAGTCATGAGCATACAAATGTGTGAGAATTTGTTATTTAACCTAACAACACTGTAGGAGCTTTGGTGCCATAGTGGTTAAAGCATTTGGCTGCTAACCAAAAGGTCAGCGGTTCAAACCCATCAGCTGCTCCACAGGAGAAAGATGAAGTAGTCTGCTTCTATAAAGATTTGCAGCCTTGGAAACCCTATGGGGTAGTTGTACTCTGCCCTATAAGGTGGCCATGAGTCAGAATCGATTTGATGGCAGTGTAACAACCCTGAGCGGCAGGCTCTATTATCAGGTCCCTCTTAGGCAGGGAAGCTAAGGCCCACAGAGGTAGGTCTCACAGCTGTAGTTGGTCCACCCAGACCTTCAGACTTCCTCTCTAGCTCTGTGCACGTTGCCCACATGCTGATGAAATGAGCACTACTGAGGCCCAAGGATATACCACATGGGTGAAAGCTCAGGCAGCATGTGGGTGGAAGGCAGTGCAACGGAGTTAGCAACAGAGAACTGAAAGGGCTTGGCATCCTGACCCAAGGCTAGGGGAGCAAGGACTGCAGAGGCGGTAGCCTCAGAGTGATGGGATGAAGGGAGGGGCGCGGAAGATGACTTGGCAGGACCCTGGACACAATGCTATCCTAGGAGGGGCACCAACAGCTCCTTTCTCCGGGCAGGGGCGCTCAGCTCTAGGCCTTGGTTTGGTCAGCTGTGGAATGAATTCCGTTCCCTAAGGGAGCTCCCCAACCTCAACAGGGTAGGTCCCCCTCCCCCCGCCCACCACCATCTAGGCGGTGGCTTCGAGCTGTAGCTCCTCCCAGGCAGCAGCCTCAAGAACTGGGCTTTGACCCACCCCCTTTGCTGGAGGCAGAAGCGAGGCACCTGAATCTTATCCCAAGAGCAAGGGGGCGGAGGAGGAGGAGGCCCGGCCCTTCCTTTCGTCGCACATTCTCCTCCCCACTGGCCCAGCCTGGGGTGAGGCTCAGCGAGCATCCCACAATCCAAGACTGCAAGTGAAGAGAGCGGTGATCTGCACGGGGGTGAGGGGGCACTTCAAAGCCTGGGTAAGACCCAGTGCCACTCCCCTCCCCAGCTGACTGGGACCTGACCTCCAGTAATCCAGGCTTCACCGCAGCTCCCTCGGGCCAGCCCTTGGGTGGGGGGGTGCGGGGTGCCAAACCCTAAGTTCTTGTGGCAGGAAGTGGTCTCCTCCCGGTGTGGAACTGCCTCTCCTCCTCCCGCTACCCACAGCGCAGGCCCGGCGTCCACCCCGCGCTCACCCAAAAGACAATGTTGAAGCCAAACAGGAAGTATTTCCCGCAGCAGCCGACCTCGGGTTCTTGGAAGCGCTGGTGCTTGCCGGGCATGGTGAGCAGCTGCCCTCCGGCCCGAGACCGGGAGCCGGGCCCAGCCCACTGCAGGGTACCCCGGCGGCTGCGGCTTAGTGGCCGCGGCCACACACAGCGCCGGCCGGGCCCCGCCCGCCCCGCAGGGACCGCCTCCGGCGGCGCCCAGGCTGCCTCGCCCTGCCTCGAGCCTGGATCCTTCCCCTTGGAGCCCCGCCTCGGAGCCTGGCTCCGCCCCCAGCGCCCAGACACCACTCCTGAGCCAGGCTAAGTCCCTTCCGAACCCGGCCTCTGAACATAGCTCGGCCATCCCACCCAAGCTCTTTTCCCTCCTAGCTCCGCCCCTGAGCCTAGCTCGGTCCCAGCAGCCCAGTTGCGTCTCCGCGGAGCACCGCCTCTGAGTCTGGCCCCACCTCCATTCCAGCTCCTCCCCTCGCTCACGCCCCCAAGCCTGGCCCCCCACCCCGCCGCCTGGGCTCCGCGCCCCGCCCCTGAACCCTGTTCAATCCCTTCAATCCCCGGCTCCGCCCCGGAGCTTGACTCCATCCCACGCGCAGGCCTAGATAGTAAACTCGCTCCACATTCTCTAGACGTTCTCTGCTGGAGCATCCCTGTGTCCATTGGAGTCCGCAGGTGTGCAGAATCCCAAGTAACCCCAACCCTGCAAGGCTTAAACGCCACTCCCCGGCCTGGCTCGTGCAGCCCTTCCCTGGAGAGGAGTAACTGCTGATTGGATGAGGTGATGGTGATCCAATTGTTTTTAATATGTGCAGGACGTTTTATTACAGGGGAGTCAGATCAGACTTGCATTTTCACTTAACGGAAACTCATCTCTGTTATACTGGCTCAACCTCAGGTCACATGAGGACCTGGGTTTTGTGAGCACAATGCCTCCTGCTCCCTGTCCTGTCAGTTTTGCCAGGGGCTCATACCCTACCCTCAAACTCACTTGGGGGTTGGGGCCTCCCAGCCTTACTCCTTCTTCCTCAAACCAGCTTGGTCAGGATCTTGGGTAGCTGGGGGCTGACACGTGTCCCTTTCAAGGCAGGACAGATCCAGGTTATGAATCTTCAAGAGTGAGTGTTTTATAGAATAACAAAAAAGGGCTTAAGCTTTGCCTTTTAGGGGAAGAATGGTGAGACTTGACCACCTCCCTTCTCTCCTGGAGGGCAGGGACACTCACCCATCTCCACTTCAGCCAGAACCCGAGGTAGGTAAGGCATGTCACTGGGCGCAGGTAAAGAAGGGGAAGAGGCCACTCAAGGGTTTCTCCCTCCTCAGCTCCCCACAGTTCCCTCGTACAGGTAGATGATGGTGTTCTGTCCCTAAGCCGCTGGCCCACCCCAGGGGCCCACCCACAGCTGGCTGAGGGAAAGTAAGATCCCATGGTGGGGTCTGAGGTTATAAATCTGAGAGGAGGCCATCTCTCAAGGTTTTTAAGCAGAATGATCACAAACAGGATTAGGCCCCTGTTTGTGGGTATGAGCTCCTGCCCCTGAAATGGAAGAGTCTGGCCCTTAGAGCAAGTGCTGGGCCTCCTACACCCCAACTACCCATCCCCAGGTGATAAAAGGAAACCCAGGAATTCCCTCAACCCCTTCCTTTCCCCCCCTTTGTGACTCCAGTAGGTGCTGGGCTCCACACCTGGCCTCTACTCATGTTAAGGAATGTTCATATTCACTCCAGGACATGAAAAGAATCAGGCGGTTTGCACCCCAGTCCTGTCCAGCAGCAGCTGTGTAGGCCGCCCTCCCCCCACCATGCATGCTTGTGTGTGTGTGTGTAGGTGGTGACATTGAAATGGGAATGGTGCCAAGGCCCCTTCACAGCACAAACTTGTTCCTGGTGCTCTTGGTGGCTGAGTCTGCATGGGCCTGATAACCAATAACAGCTTTTGTTGACAGGCCCAGGTGTTCTTTGTATACATGCCTAGGGGAGGGGGGAGCAGAGGAAATGAGACTCAGGTGATCTCCAGCTGACCTCCTTTGCCCTCTGAGTCCCACCTGGTTCCAGCCACTCCTGTTTTATGTGTCTTAACCAAAAAAAAAAAAAAAAAACCCAAACTCACTGCAGTGGAGTTGGATCTGACTCACAGCGACCCCTCCTTGGTTACCCATGTGGAAACCCGAACTATGATTCCATAAGAAAAAAAGTTCTGCTACGAATAGTTTGAAATCCAGATTCCAAACCCTGTATTCAGGTGGGAAGGGGGGCATGGAAAGTTCTAGAGGCCTTTGCAGGCCCAGCCCACCCTCCACCCACCTTCTTCCCCAGAAGAGCCCTACCCCCACCCTGTGCCAGAACTGCCTCTCACCCAATGTGCAGCACACCGGCCTGGTTCTCTGCCTCCTGTGTCCACACCGAGATCTTGTCCCCCTTGGTGCGGATATTGACGACAGCCCCACACACCTCCTTGCTGTGTTCTTCAAAGCTCTCCCCGATCAGACACAGCAGCTAGGCCCAGGGAGGGTCAGAGTGATCCTTCCAGCTGGGACACAGGGACATCCCGTTCCCCACCATCCTCAGTCCAGCACCAACGTCTTCCCTGGGGACCCCTGTATTCTAGCTCCCCACACTCACTGTCTCCAACCAGAGGTGGTCCAACTTGCTGTGGCGCTGGTGTTTGGCAAGACTGACCAGCCAGCGGCCACCACGCTTATTCCTACTATCTTCCCACATGGGCTGGATGCCATCCTGGGAGGCAAGGATGGAAAATCAAATGTCTCTCTCTATTCAAAGAGAAGTAGGGACCCAGCAGGATCTGGCTGACCTTCCCAGCCTCATCTGCCCCCTGCCCAGGCCCTGTGTCAGCCCTTTCACCTAAATAGGCAGGTTCTCACTTACTTTTATCCCCTCTGTATTAGCAGGTTCCACTTCCAACCACCCAACCCAGCCTACCAACCTCTGCTTCTGAGCTCCTTGAACTTCATTTGTCCCCTTGTAGGGCTTGTGAGTTTCCCTCTCTCACTGAGCTGAACATGAGTCCAAATGGGGGGTGGATTAAGCAAGCCCTCCAAGTTTAATGCAAGCAAGGACAGATGTCCCAGGCTTGGCCCCAATGGTCCCCAAACCTACCTGAGCACAAGTCACCTGTGGAATCTTTAAACACTGTGGCCAGGCCCCAGCACACACATCTGCTGGGACAGCCCCAGCGTGGGTAGGGGTTCCTAGCGGCAATTCTGGTGTTCATCTCTGGCTAAAGAGCCAGACCAGAAACCTGGGCCCCTTCCTGATCCCCCTTGTCCCTCCTGCCCTTCCAGACTCTTAAGTGTTCTTCAGTCAGAAATCTCATCACTCCAGGGAGATGTCCATGGACCCCACCCCTCTGTGAGGGACAAATTCAACAGAAACAGGAAGGAACCAGCCTGCCCTGGGGGGGGGGGTTGGGGTTAGGCAGAGCTTACCTTGAACAGGGCGTAGTCACAGCCAGATGAGAGCTTACTGGCCAGCTGGATATGACTGTACATCCTGGAGACAGACACCCTCAGACTGACAGGCAAGGCCTGTAGGGCCTGGTTTCAACTGACCCCGTCACATCCACTCAACTCCTTACTGAATCCCACCGCTTTCCCCTACCCACCTTTGGACCTCTACGCCTTTGTTCCCATTGGCCTCCTTGCCTGGAACTTCATTCCCAATTATCCAAACCCTCAAACCCTACCTTTTCTCTCAAGCCTTCCCGGACCCACCAAGCCCCATGAAGCCAGAGCCACTGGAAAGGCTTTTAGACCCAAAAGTGAGGAACTAGGAGATCCTGGGTGGTGCAAACGGTTAACATGCTCAGCTACTAACAGAAAAGTTGGCAGTTCAAATCCATCCAGAGTCACCTGAGAAGAAAGGCCTGACAATCTACTTCTTAAAAAAAAAAAAAAAAATCAGCCAGTGAAAACCCTATGAGCACAGTTCTCTGACACACATGGGGTCAACATGAGTCCATGGCAACTGGGATTGGTTTCTGGCACCCTCCAGCTGGGCTTCAAGGCCTTCTAGGAGCCTGGCCCTCCCACCCTTCCCTGGGATCTGTGCACTTTTTGGGTCCCCTCCCACGTATCCCCCATGGATACACTCAGACAGCCTAGTCGTCACTGCAACTGAGACAGGCTCAGAGAGGGTAAGGAACTTGCACAGGCACACAAAGCCAGGGAGTGCCCAGCCCAGAGTCAGTTTCTGGCTTCTCCCACTTCCCAGGCACTCACCCTCAGCCCCCCAAGAAGGCTGTGCCTCAGCCTCAAATCCCCAGGGCAAAACCCACCCAGCCCTAAACCAAAAACCAAGCCCACTGCCATCCAGTCAATTTTGACTCATTGCAACCCTATAGGACAGAGTAGAACTACCCCATAGGGTTTCCAAGGCTGTAAATCTGTACAGAAGCAGTCTGCCACAGCTTTCTCTCTACAGAGTGGCTGGTGGGTTCATACCACTGACCTTTCAGTTAGCACTTAACCACTGCACCACCGGGGCTCCTCACTCAGCCCGCCACAAATGCTGACAGCCTGCAGGGAAGACTGGGATGTTGGGCTATAGGAAGGAGGGGTGGAGGGGTGGAGGCAAGAAAGGATCTCCAGCTAAGAGCCCCTTGCTCTAGCCTCTAGAAGGGCAGACACTCACGCCCAGAAGTCCTCCACCGTGTCAACCTTGGTGACCAGGTGCAGGTTATCCTGCCAGACCCTGCTGCAGTCATTCTTGAAGAACCACAAAGCCCACCTGGGGAGGGGGAGGCAAGGAGGAAGCAGAGACCACCCCATCTCAATGCCCACTCCCAGCAGCACCTGGGCTGGCAGGGGAGTGGCTTCACATCAAGGACAAACTGGGAGATGGAGTTTGGGACACAGGCCCTGAAGGTGAGTGAAGTCAGTTATCCTGAAGATCAGGGGGACAAGCAGGCTAACCCAGAATTTCAGATGAGTTAAGGGTAGAGGGCTCAGACATCCCAAGGCCTAGACCAGCTATGGCTGTTGGAGGATGATGAACAGGGCAGAGAAAAGAAGGGGTGGTCCAAGGGCACAAGTTAGCACCTGGAGCCTGCCCTACCTGTTCTGCAAGGGATGCAATTCCAGCTCCACCTCCACTGCTTCCACCAGGCCTTTATCTTGGGCCTTCCTCCTCAGAGGCAGCAAAACTGTAGAGGAATGCAGAACTTCCTTCTCCTCTTCCACCAACACCTTCACTGCTGCCTCCTTTTCCTCTTTCTCCTCCTTCTCCCACTCTGGGATTCCGCTCTCAGCCTCTCTTGCCTGATCAAAGAAGGAGTCAGGGTGGGCTGTGAACCTGGACCCTCAGCCACCCCAGTCCTGTCCTTTGCTCCAGAAGAGGCAGGCAAGTGGACTCACAGGGCCAGTAGCAGCCATGCTGTACCTCAGGCTTCACGAGCCCTAGCACCCCGAGGGAACCTCAGCTGCAGGCTTTTAACTCCCCAGTGCCCCATCCTCACACCCTGCCTAGGGCGGGGGAAGAAGGAGGAGCCAGTATGGGCCAGGGAGGGGGCTGACACTATTCCTTCCATCTGCAAGTATTTAGTGAGAGCCTTCTGCATGTAGGCCCAGGGCTGGCGATACAGGTGTGAGCACACAGGCACCAACCCCACCTACGTGGCCCTGGCACTCACTGGGGGGTCGAGACACTAAGCTGAGCATCAATATTAGGGGACTGCCTGTAGGGAAACAGCATCCCACTAACAGTGTGAGGGTGGCCCCTGAATTTAATCCTAGGCTATCTGGGCGTTCTGGGTCTTGGCTTTAGCCACACAGCCTGAGTTCAAGTCCTGCCTTACCCTGAGCAACTATGGGACCTTGGGCAAGTTACTTAACCTCACTGAGTCTCAGTTTTACCACCTGTAAAATGGGACTGTTAATAATACCCACCTCAATAGCTTGTTGTGAGGATTAAATGATATAAAATACCTAAAGCTCGTAGCAAGGTCTGGGTCCATGCTCAATAAAAGTCAGCTGAGGGCTTCTTTAGGGTGGGGGGAGGGATAGTCCTGGCTCTGAACAGCCTCCTTTTTTATGGAGACTGAAGCCCGCCCCAAGTTATTCAAAGTTTCTCATGCTAGCCTTAGCCACTTTTAGGATCCTGGATCTGTAAGATATTAGCTTCTCCCTCTCCTCCATACCAGATAGGCTTATGACCACCTGGAGGCTGACCTTCAACATTATTTAACTCACATCCCATCCCTTAAGCCTCTGATGGATGCCAGGCACAGGACTAGGTGCTGGGATGCAGTGATGAGCAAAAACTGAACGGCCCATGTGCTCACATCTAGTCAGGGAGCCAGATGTTCATCAGATAATCTCACAAAGACCTGTGTAACCACAGATGCAAACCTTGGAAAGCTTGAAGGAAAAGGATTCTGGGATGGGAAAAGATACAAAGCCTGTGACCTGAGCTAGGGCTTAAAGCAACGGTTCTCAGGTGCATGCATCAGAATCACCTGCAGGGCTTGTTTAACACTGATTGCTGGGCCCCTCCAGAGTTTCTGATTCAGTGGGTCTGGGCTGGAGCCTGAGAATTTGCATTTCTAACAAGTTCCCAAATGATGCTGATGTTACTGGTCCAGGATCCCCACTTTGAGAACCACTGGCTTAAAGGCATTTCTCTAAAGAGGCCGAGACCTAAAGTATAAGTGGGAGTTAACTAGATAAGTGAGGGAGGACATCTCAGAGGGAAGGAACAGCATGTGCAAAGGTTCTGGGGCAGAGACCATGAGAACCTGGAGGATGAGAAGAAAAGATCAGTGAGGGTGAGGTCCAAAGGGAGAAGGGGTGGGTAGGTGTTGATCCTAGGAGCAATGGAGAGCCACTGAGTGCTTCAGATGGATGTAGCTGGCTGGGGAGGTCATCAGATTTTCTTTCAGTAAGTTCTCTACACTGCTGTGTAGAAAACAGACCCTATGGTCAAGAGTGAGTGGGAGGAGACCAGTTAGGATGCTGACATAGTTGTGTAGGTGACAGATGGGGGCAACAGGGAAGATGGAGAGAAGAAGATGGAGTCAGGAGGTACTTAGAAGGAAAATTTGATGATATTTGGAGATGAATAGGCTCTGGGGAGGAAGGAGAAGTGTCTCCTGGGTTTGTAGATGACATGGTAGCCCCTTTCATATGGCCAAGTTATCTATTGCCACATAACAAACCACCCCAAATTTATTGGCTTAAAACAACACTAATTATTTATTTTACTTAGAGGCCTATAGTCTGGGCAGGGCTCAGCCAGGACAGCTTGTCTCTGCTCCAAAGCTATGTCACTGGAGGTACATCAAAGCCTAGGGTTCACATTTGGAGCACTTGATGTTAGCTGTCAGCTGGGACCTCAGCTGGGGGCATTCATCTGGGACAGCTATCCATGGCCTCTCTGTATGGCTGCTTGGCTTCTTCACAGGATGATGGCTGGGTTCCAAGAGTGAACATCCCAAGAGACTGGAAGCAGAACTGCCAATCTCTTAAAGTCTGGGCCTGAAAACAGGCACAGCATCATGTACCTGTATTCTATTTGAGTCATAGGACTCGGTCTCAAGGGGAGGGAACATAGCCCTACCTCTCTCCATGGGAGGAGTGTCCAAGAATTTGGAGGGTATGTTTGAAAACCACTGCACATGGTCAGAGGAAGCACTGGAAGAGGACCAGATATGGAGAGAGAGCAAGGATCTGGACTTGATGGAGAAAAAGGGAGAAAGGACCCTGCCAGGTCTTAGCTGCCTATGGTCCTGGCCCTGAACTTGGCATGGAATAACCCTCCCAGCCAAGCACCTCTGTCCATTTGTTATCTTCCCATCTTCCAGCCTGGGGCAGGCCCTGGAGTCTGGGGTTGGGACATTAAGTAGAGACCCTAAGAGTAAACACCTGACCTGACTGGGGTTCTGACCATTGTCCAAGTCCCTCACCTACCATGTTTGTCTATGGAGGCTAGCTTCATGGTGTGGTTGGACAAGCACTCACTGGCTCTGGAATCCTAATCCTCTATTTTGTTCCTAAAATAGCTCCAATCTGCCTGTTTCTTTCCCTCCCTACTACCTTCACCCCAGACAAGCCATCTCTGGCCTGGACCACTGTACAAGTCTCTCCTAAGACTCTTCTTGCTTCCACTCTTGCCTCCCTACTCGCCACAAACCTCAGAGGGAGAATTTACAACATTAATAAACTCACTTAACTCCTCTGTTTAAAATCCTACAGGTAAGGATGGCAATGCTTCAGCTCATGTGCTTTGGACATGTTACCAGGAAAGACCAGTCCCTGGAGAAGGACATCATGCTTGGTAATGTTAAGAGTCAGTGAAAAAGACCCGTGGCTTCCAGCCAAACAAAAGACAGGCATATGAGTTGACCATTTATTTACCTGAGGTAGATACACTCCTTGGAGAGAACAATCATGGGAGAAAGAAGGGCTGTTTATGCACAGGGAGACAGCTAAGGGGGTAGGAGTGCATGGAGGGATGGACACAGGGAAGAGGTTAGTATCGGGAGGAAGTGGGAGGGGAGCTGTTGCATTGTGGTAAATTGTGGTCAATGTCATGAGACAAAGTGTATGTGAACTGCTGTATGGAAAGTGAATTTGTTCTGTAAATTTTCACCCAAATCACAATTTAAAAAAATAAATAAAAAGAGTCAGTGAAAAAGAAGAAGACCCTCAACTAGATGGATTGATACAATGGTTGCAACAACAGGCTGACACACGGCAGTGATTGTGAGGAGGGTGCAGGGCTGGGCAGAGTTTGGTTCTGTTGTACACGAGGTGGCTATGGGTTGGAACCAACACAACGGCATCTAACAACAGGACACCTAGAATGTGGTCCAAAGTCCAGGTTCTGGACTTTCAAGTTCCTGCATGGAGCCATCCTCGCTGTGCCTCAGCACATTGATCCTCCAACAGGCAAGATTCGTTACTGCCTCAGGGCCTTTGTATGGCACCATTTTAAACCCTGGGGAGTACAACCAGGAACAAAAGTGATGGTTCCTCTTTGCTACAGAAGCTCCCAGGGCTTATTCTTTGCACCTCCCTGTTCTGTCCACACTTGCTGTTTCATGATCTCATCCAGTGGCATTTTCACCCAAGTCTCTCTGTATGGCTGCTTGGCTTCTTCACAGGATCATGGTTTCACAGGATGAAGCAGCCATAGAGAGAGGCATTAAATGACATATACATAGTGCTATCTCTGACCCTGAACTTTCTGCTGATATCCACAAGAATATATCCATCCAACTGCCTGCTTGACACCTCTACCTGGGGATCTAAAGTGCATCCCCGATCTATCACATTCAAACCTGAATCTCTGACCTCCCCATCCCAAGACCTGCCCCTCCCACCATCTTCTCCATCCTTCCAGTTGCTCAGCCAAAACTCTTGGAACGATCCTGGGCTCCTTGCTCTCTAACCCTTCAGCACACTTCGTCTTCAGCCCTACCTTCACAATATTTCCAGGACCGCTTTTCTCTGTCTCCATCACCACCACCCTGGCCCAAGCAACTGTCATCCAGTGCCTGTATTATGGCAATGGCCTCTAAATTGTTATCAGCTTCCTACACAGCAGCCCTTAAAAATGAATCTACGATCCACCAATTCCACTCCTAGGCAGTGTAGTGCCTAAGGCACTTGACTGCTAACCAGAAGGCTGGTAGTTCAAATCCACCAGCCACTCCTCAGAAGGAAGATGGGGCAATCTACTTCCATAGTGATACTGCCTCAGAAACCCAAGGAGGAGTCGCTATGAGTTGGGGCCGACTCGATGGCACATAACAACAACAACAACACAGGCATATACACAAAAGATTGGAAGCAGGAATGCAAACCTTGTACACCAATGTTCATTGCAGCACTATTCACAATAGCCAAAAGGTACAGATAGCCTAATTGTCCATCAACAGATGAATGGGATAAACAAAATGTATTTTATATAAAAATTCACTACCATTGAGTTGATTCTGACTCATAGCAACCTCCATTGGGTTTCTGAGGTGGTAAATCTTTACGAAAGTAGATTGCATCTTCCTGACCTCCTTTCCTACTATGTACCCCCTACTCAGCTGCAGTCACACTGGCCTCTCCATGGATTTTCATAGCATGCTGAGTCCTCCCCTGGCTACGTCCTCCACCTGAATGCTCTTCCCTCAGTCACCTGCAGATATCACTGCCTAACCTCTCTTCCCACTGCATTTAACTGCCCACCCCTCAGCCCCACCCCTCAGCCCCTCTGCAGCACCTTCTATGCTCTTGTCTCTTCACTTTTTCCCTTCCCATGTATCACCTCCTAATACACTCTCTATTTTACTTATTTTATCATCTGCCTTCTCCTGCTAAAATATCAGGTCTCTCAGGTCTCTGTTGCTCATGGCTGTGTTCCCTAGTGCCTTTAATGTTAA